AGAGCTCCTAAGCGTTTTTGCTTCATATGGACTCCAAGCTCTCAGGCAGCTTCTTTGCATGGAACTTAGGACCGGAGGGTCCCCAGTGAGGGTGATGTGGGTTAGACTCTTTAAGTTTCCCTTTGCTTCCCAGCTTTCAGGTTATGTGTTTTACTGGAAAAGGACTCCTATATTTCTAGACGTCAAAGGACCTCAGGGCAATTTATGTCAGTCCATTCGGGATTGCCAGGATAACATGTCTATAAGAGGCCCAAACAACATGTGATAGTTGGTTCACTAAATTTCTAGGCAGCCTGTTTCAAGAATCATTGGGCAGGCTGGTTCTGCATGCACCCTGGCAAGCATGGCATCCAGCTACGGATTCACCAAGCCAGGTCTGACTTCTTGGGCTTCCTAAATCTCCAAGGACCCTGATGCTCTGGAGGGCCTCAGGGGCAATCCAAAAATTCCTTTTTGTCTCTCTTATAGTACTCTTTTGAAGTTTAGCTCATAACAAACACTTAAATATTTTGTAAGTCTACATCCAGATATCAGGGATTAAAAACTGCACTAAAATGAGATCAAATACAGAGAAGTAGGTATGATTGACGTTAAAAATGACAATGTCTAGAGAAAAGAAATAGGAAAATGGAAAGACAGCAGTAAGAGCATGAAGTTTTAACTGCCAAAGTTTCTGTATAGAATTGCAAGAAGCATAGCAAGGAAAACAAAGAAACTGGAAAACATTGTACATACTCAGGCAGGGAATTTTCACATTATAGACTTAACCAAAGAATGGTACATAAACAAAAATTCATTGGTACTACTTAAGTAAAATTTTTAAAATATAAAACAAATGAACAACAGTGTGCATTATAGAGCATGACTGATCTTTATACACTACATTTTTAAATTAGTCAAATGTGTAAACAAAGCATCTTAAATCACTTAAAACAGCAAACAATTTTACTATTTGTTAAATATCAGAAAAATTTCCAAGTTCAACTACCTTTCTTTGTTACTTTTAGTAAAGAAATTTTCTCTGTGGTTTTATACATATGGTTACATTAAAATTTCCATAACAAGCAAAATCTGTGTAAGAATCCTAAATAGCATGGGTCAGCAGCAGCATATTTTCCACCCACAGGTTAACTCCAGACTGCTGGCTCCAGTAGAAGTCACTTCCTCAGTATATAATACTTTTGCAAGAGTGAAGACTGCTTGACCTTCACAAACATCAATTTCATGACCTTTCCCTTTTAAACTTGATTTAATTTTGATCTGGTTTTTTTTTTGAGTCAGCATGGACATTCTCTTTCCCCATACATAGGAAATACACACACCACTTTAGATGGCTGATCATCCTCCATCACACCCATGAAGTTCCACTGCAGAGCTGAAAGGGATGCAATAACTTGGGGGGAGAAAAATCACACTTTATTAGAAAAAGTGTGAGATGTCATTTTACAAGTACTTTTTAAGAAAATAGAGTAACTTTCCACTCTCTTCCCTCAGATCTCCAGTCTCAGACTGTTTACTTAAATTATATTGACAGACCTTATACGTAGCTGCCTTCCTGAAGCTCTTTAAGAAAGCCTGTATAGTTGTAGCTATAACAAAGCCTAAAACCGAAACTTTGAAAGCTGAAAGCTGATACGCAAGCACAGACAAAGGACAGAGGAAAGGATGATGTCTGGTATTACCATTCCTATTCTAACGTTTGCACTCAAAACTCTATTAAATATGGGGGTGGAAAATGACCTCTACAACTTTTTTTTTTTTTTTTTTATTTCAAGACATACTATTTAAAGGTTACTTTGTGGGGAAACAGGTAGTTTCATAAAAACTCAAGCTGGCAGTGTTCCTCTTGTTGGCACAATGCCTTTGGATGAATTTTATAATAGCCCAAATAACATCTTTGTAGAGTTTCTCTAAATTTTTCTGTTTGAGCTAATGTACATCAGGAGAACACTACAAACGCTGTTTTTCAAAGAAGCATCATAAGCAAATATTGCTGTTCCAACATCAACAGAGTCAAGTAGATTTTTCTTAGCCATTTTTCATAATCATTTGTGTTTCTTGGACAGTGCATGTACACTTTGTCATTACCATAGTGCCTGCAGTACTTTTCTTTTTGGAAGTAAGGAACTAATTAATAAGAATCTGCTTATTTTAAGATAATTCCTTTGAATAAATGACATTCTTGACTCTTTAAGTCTTATATTTTAAAGAAATGTATGAACTAATTTATCCAAAATCATGAGATACTCGTCTAAGACTCACAAGTAGCCCTCACCGGGTGCTGTGCAAAATTTCTCAGGAGAGTTCTACCACCCAAATTATACCACTGCCAGCCTACTTGTAAGATCCTCACTCTACAAGAAATTCTTAAGGTTAAAAACATTTGGAACTAATGCTGGCATACAGAAGTAATAACTGATACCTAACCAATATTACAGCTGTCAGATCTGTAACAGCTTATATACTACATTGTACAGTTTACATCCTCTATTTAAAAAGACTTTGATCTGTCATGGACCAAATATCACTGACCTGTATCATATTGCTGTAACAAATGACATTACGTAGCTATATCATACTGATACAATTCTGTTCCATGGGAAGTACTCTGAATCAGCTACCATAATGTAACTGTCGACACATATAATCTAGGGTTACAGGAATTTAGGCTCTGCTCCCTGGAAACTAACTTCCTGTCTAACAGCAGGCAAACTAGTTAGACCCAAAAGCTCAAAACTGGTTAGCACCTAAACATCTCAAGAATTCAAGTCTTGGCCTTTTGTGACTCTTACCCCGCTAATGGTAAAACAGAAATGGTAGACTTTCCAATCTTAAACAGATTATGGTGAGAGTAAGTGCACGAGACAGCATCATGTACTCACATACCTTGACAATAGCAGCCTTATCAGTATGATAGATTAGCTTCTAACATTTCACAAATATCACAGAAAATAACCTTTAAGTTGTATGTACAGAAAATGTCTGTGCAGAAAAATGGATGTTGCAGTACATTGATATAAAAACTCATTTCTGATACTATTAACAAGTTCTATTTCATCCTTGAACCTCTACACTACAGAAGAGAACTACTATAGCTTCCAGAAAAGAACACAAAAAGAAAACAAATCCAGATTCCAAGCTCACAGCTATGTGAACATGGTTTGCAGTCCCAAATACAGGCTTGGAAAAGCCAGAATGCACATAATACTTTTAAAGTCATATACTTCTTACTGCTTTTGAATCAAGCATTGCATAAACCAAACTGTGCTTCTTGGAAGATAGTGTAAATTGTTGAATACTATTAACTTTGAATAAAAAAAAAATCAAAATGTTGTTTAGACAGAAATAGTTACTGCACTTCCACAGTGTGGCTATAATCGGTGCTTTATACATATTTCTTTCCATTCAGTGTCAGAGGCAAGGGTATTATTGGTAGATTTGTTTCAGTGTGCCACTCTGCCTCAGTCTCACACAAAGAACTCTTTGTGGGGTCACAGATCAGCATGTGGGCAGGCAGCCAAGAGAGATGAAAGAAGGATAGCTACACCAAGGATGTACATAGCTTACACTCATCAAATACCCCGGCAAAAAAAAAAAACCCAAGAAAAAAATCCATGTAGTCTATAATTTCAGTAGCTGTCTTCTATCCCCTTAATTTCTGAAAAAGTGCTTTTAATGGAAGCTCTAGCAATGTGCAGTTCTACTCTGGCACTACAGGTCACAGAATGTTACACATAATAAGTGTTACCTCAGTATTCAGATAAAGTCATATTTTAACATTCAGTTACACCAATATTGTTCAAAAGAGAGGTAGGTATAGTCATATCTTGACAGAGGAGACATGTATACACCCCACCACTAGATAACGAAAAATTTTACTATACTAGAGTGCACATTTAAAAAAAAAAAAAAGATGGAAAGATAATTCAGGATAACCAGCATGTCTGAGACATGGCAATCTAGCTGCTATTGCAGAAACCATCGTGAAGAAATAGAAAATGCTAAAGTTATAAAAATGAAGACCATATGTTCTCACAATACTTTCATTTCTATATCTGTATCTACATCCATCCATCTATATAAATTAGTAGCAATCATACAGTGCTCAATTTCATAAAGGAAACACTGCCCGCAAAGGATGCTAAGGATATCTAGCACTTTGAAGGAATTTCCATTCTCTACATAGTCAGGATCTCAAATGATATGTAGAAGGATAGATATTTGCGGTACAGTAGAGAGAAGATGCAAAAGTTGCATTGAATATGGAGGTAAATTAGAAACGGAAGGTATTACGGTACAAGGATTAAGGATAAAAGTATACTTAGTATTCTAGGAAACTTCTAATGGGAACCAAAACTTATCTCATTTATTTTAACACAGGTCAGTGGTAAGAATTCATTGAAGACGACTTACAGCTTATACTTACCATTTTATCTCTACTTGGGAACTGACATGAAATAAATGAATAGCTCTGTCTTCTGTGCACAACTGACCTGCACAACAACCGCTATTCACAACTGGCACTTTTTGTTGGCAGTCTCAGCAGAAAATCTGAGGATTACATTGGCACCGAGTCTGAAATACGCTCTGAAACCAAATGATGGTCTCTTGAGAACATAGCTAAAGTACCTCATAGCGGAGAACAACTACAACTACCTGTGCTGTTCATAGCTTGTGAGCAGAAGCTTTCTGTTTTCAGAATTGTCGGATTTTCAGCATGTTTTATTTTGGAACAGTAAATTCAGGTCCTGATAAGTTATTAAAATATATTTTCCAAATACACTAAACACTGTAAAGGCAAAACACAATGCTATAATGAGTGCTAGATGGAGGACTGTTCACTGTCGAAAAGTGAATACAACATTTTTTTAAGCTGTTAACAGAATGAGATAAAAAGAGTGTAAATAGAAAACAGTAAAGTATTGCTGGAAATCATCCAAATATAAAAATTCTATGTGAGTATATATATAACCAAATTATTACTTCAAATACTTTCTTACCTTAGCATTTTTAATGCAAGGACAAATAGCCCAAGCTGCACTTGCTTGAACATCTGGATTAGGGTTTTTCAACAATGACCATAACAAACGAACTCCATCTAGACGGTCAATTATCCTATTGCAGAAACAGACCAAAAAAGAGATATAATTAATTATGGAGCAAACAATGTTAAATTTTAAATTATATCAGTTTCTTTGGAACACTTCTTTAATAAATATTGATACGATTTTCTTTAACATACTTCTTGCTTTATTTAAGTGCTTGTGTTTTATTGTCAGCTGATCACCATCAACATATTCAGTAAACATTACTTATTATAACAGATGAGTGTGAGCAAATGATGTAGAGACAGAATATGTTTTCTAACTAAATCTTTTATGATGTTTACTTTTTTCTCAGCACTGTCATTCAAAATGCTTATAGAAGATAAAGTAAACTACATTATAACGAGAATTCATATAAATGTGAAAAAAAGCATACTTTTTAACGATCTGCATGCAAAGTGAAATCTGAATTGAAGCATACTGGCTTCTTTCATTTAGTAACAAATACTTTCCAATACAAATATTTATGCCCAAAACTATGTACTTAACTTTTTATTCAGTCTATGCTTAATGTATTTACCTTACTCTATGACATATTTTAAAATACTATGTTTCTAATCCAGCATTAGAAATTAAAATGGTCACACCACAGTGCATCCTTTGTTGAGTACGAATAACGTGTAACTTGTTTCCCATGTGTTCCTTACCAACGAGTCTAACACTGAACACTATGTTATAATTACTTGAACACACTGTAATCAAAGTATCTTTGTGACTATCTGAAAAATGAACTATCATCAGAATCATCTCTACACCATCTGTGTTATGTTTACATATCAGTCAGGCTTGGGGATCCTAACTTCACATTGTGGTTCAGTGAATACCTTAAATGGAAAAGAAGGTCAAACAAAACTTGATAGTCTTTACAAACATGCCTTTTTTCAAAAAGATATATTAAACCCAAAGCAAATGAGCTGAATAGAAAGAAAAGCAAGTGCACCTTCATTTTCTAACCTCAAAAGTACAAATTCAATTGTATAAAATTAGTCTACATCTTTAATTGTAAATACAAGAGAAATCTAAATACAGACTGTGCTTAAAAACATCAGATAAAATATCTCATTTGTGTTAACTGCATATAGGTTTGCTAGGAAAATGTTAAAAAATCAGCTTTGTATGTAATCCTAGCATCATTTGAAGCAGAAAAAATAATTAAGGACATGAATTCTATCTGAAATAACCAGGGATTTTATTCATAACACTTGTATGCAAACTGGTTAAACAACTATGTTTTTCAGAATAATACTTTTTGCACAAAGCTATGGTTAAGCTAAGACACTGTAAGTCTTTTAAGATCTGCTAATTTTAATACAGCTTATTTTACACACTTAGCTCAAAATCAACTGCAAGAAAATCATCATTCAAAGGACAAATTTAGAAGTCAATGACACAAAATAAAACTGCGTGATCACAAACTACACAATTACATATGTATGTTCATAGTAAACGACTTAAGTAAAACCTTCAAAACAGGCTTTTAAATCCCTCCAAACCCCAAACACTTTCAAGCAATTTTAACATTACTTTCCTGTCATTTCAGAAAGCACAAGGAATTTTTTCCTATATTTGAATTAATTAAAAAAGAACCCATGCATCTTTCTTCTAGTCAAGCAGAGTACTGACCCTTTACCAACATGAGGTACTTCCTCCCAAGAGGGGCTAAATATAAATGACCCAGCTCCAACCAGTATATAAAAATCAAGCGATAGAAGCCAAACACTGAGCTCAGATTTTTCCACCACACTTAACAAAACAACCTCTAGGCTGATTTATCCTTCCTTTTTATTTTTTTGAAAGCTTCCTTTACAATTTAAAGTTTACCTTCATTTTCTTTTCAGTTTTCTTGGTTTCTCTTCAGCTTTTCAAGGTAAACTAGCCTCACTCTATGGTTTATTTTTCTAAAGAGTTTTGCCTTTTGCTTGAAGACCAGAAAGACTGGTTGTCTTAGACCCAACAGAACAACTCAGAATATCTGAAAGTGTAGCCCTCTGTATGTTCAACATGTGTAAAACCAAACTAAAAACCAGTATGGACTAAACAAACAAATCTCCAAATTGCATTGTTCATCACTGATTACTGCTTTCTCTCAGTTACACTAGATTAACTTGAACGAAAAGAACTCTGCATACAAGAAGGATGCTCTTAAATTCTCATACTGGAAGAAGCTGTGTAATCACCATACAAGCACAAACCATTTTATTTTCATCTTGCTGAGAACATATATTTGTCAATTAAGAAAAAGCTGCTAAACAGTTCAATTCTTTATCTTGCTATGGTTTCACTTCACTATGTAGCAGATGAAGAAACTGGGTGTTAAACGAGCGTATCTGCTATAAAAGCAAGGGGAACACTAAAATAAATGGCCCTGAAAAATGTTTCCTCTATAAAAGTGCTTAGACATTAGTTTCCTTTTTACGTGGAAATTCCATTTTAAAGTGGACAAAAAATATACAACTAGGCTTTTTTACAAATAAGCAAAAAAACCCACACTCATAATCTTAAAAATTTCAGCCCTGATGGCATAATGCTAAACAATATTTTGATTTGCCTTTGTATGTAGCTTTCGTATCTAATTTTCTTCCCAAAATTTATTATAACATTATTAGCAGGATGCTGTAACAAAGCTGCTTACCACAATAAATACAAGCAAACATACCTTAAAATTTACTTTGGTTGGCATTCAATTCTGTATTCCTCCATAGCTAGTACAATAGTCATTCTGTGGTTAGTCACTTAAATGATCTATTTTCTAATAATTTGTTGACATTATGATGATAAAATTAATGTACAGAACACTATTAACAGTCAAAATTTTAACAGGTATGGAAGCCACCCAAAGCAGAAATGTAAACTTGATTCTAAGTAAGTACTGTATGTTGCTTCACTGTAAGTACATAACATAATGTAAATATGCAGAGTTCAGAAGCAAGAGTCCAGATTGTGAACTACTGTGACTCTGTACCATAACACAGCAGAGGCATCTCACAAGAGATGTGGACCAACATGGCCAGTGGCCACCTTTTCTGATTCAAAGCTCTGTGTCTTGTTGTAGACTCTTCTTATCTGATCACTAACACAATTTAGAACAAGCTGTAGATTACTCTGCTCCTCAAAATAGCTAAAAGTACTTGTATCGGCAGTTAGAAATAGCTGGGGTGAAAAGCCACTCCTACTGTGCACTCCTGTGCTAGCCAGACACGATTAGAGCAGAGGTGAAGAGGTATGCAGCTGATGTGACTCCTACAAAACGACAGCTGCAAGGTGTATGAGCAAAACATCTTCCTGATTTTCACAGAGAACAGCTGATGTACGGTGTATATAGAATACATCTTACATGCAAGAATACAGAATATATCTTACAACCTGCTGGCCACTCTGCTTTTGATGCAGCCCAGGATACGGTCGGCTTTCTGGGCTGTGAGCGCACATTGTTGGGTCATGTTGAGCTTCTCGTCAACCAGCACCCCCAAGTCCTCCTCCTCAGAGCTGCTCTCAATCCATTCTCCACCCAGCCTATATTTGTGCTTGGGATTGCCCCAACCCATGTGCAGGACCTTGCACTTGGCCTTTTTAAACCTCAAGAGGTTCACACAGGCTCTCCTCTCAAGCCTATCAAGGTCCCTCCCTTCCCTCCAGTGTGTCGATCGCACCACTCAGCTTGAGGTCGTTGACAAACTTGCTGAGGGTGCACGCAATCCCACTGTCCATGTCACTGACAAAGACATTAAACAGCACTGGTCCCAATACCAAGCCCTGAGGAACACCACTCATCTCCACTTGGACATCGAGCCATTAACCACAACTCTTTGAGTGCAACCATCCAGCCAATTCCTTCTTCACTGAGTGGCCCATCCATTGAATCTACGTCTCTCCAATTTAGAGACAAGGATGCAGTGTGGGACAGTGTCAAACGCTTTGCTCAAGTCCAGGTAGATGACGTCAGTTGCTCTTCCCGTATCCACTAATGCTGTAACACTGTAGTAGAAGGCCACCAAATTTGTCAGGCATGATTTGCCCTTAGTGAAGCCACGTCAGCTGTCTCGAATCATCTTCTTATTTTCCATGTGCCTTAGCACAGTTTCCAGGAGGATCTGCTCCACGATCTTGCCAGGCACAGAGGTGAGACTGACTGGCCTGTAGTTCACCAGTTCTTGTTTTTACCCTTTTTAAAAATAGGTATTATGTTTCCCCTTTTCCAATCAGTGGGAACTTCACCGGAGTGCCAAAACTTCTCAAATGTGATGGATTGTGGAGTCCTGGCTGGACGAGAGGGGACGTAGTTTGGTGCTGTTGAGCAACCCAGGTTCCGATCCGGAAGTGAGCCTCGGGAGCGGCTGACACGGAACCCTGCTGGGAAGGCAGAGCGACGAGCTCAGGACACTGGAGCAGGGGGAACATCACCGTTTCCTGCCACACTGTAACTTCCTTCCTGCCACGTTGTTGTTTCCTGCCACAGTACTGTTTTCACTTCGAGATGCAGCTCTGCACCAATCACAACGAGTTGCAGTAGTTTTGCCTATATATGGATTGGGGGTTTAACCATTCAGATGCTGTAATAGTTTTGCTATATAAACCTTGTTTTGCTGACTAATAAAGGTGTACGATCATACTCATATTGGGGTCACATCGTTACAACGGGTCCGTAACCCACGCCTACAATGGATAGTGGCTTAGCAACTTCATCCGCCAGTTCCCTCAGGACCCGTGGATGGACCTCATCAGGTTCCATGGACCTCTGCACCTTCAGGTTCCTTAGATGGTCTCGAATCTGATCTTCTCCTACAGTGGGCGGTTCTTCATTCTCCCAGTCCCTGCCTCTGCCATCTGTGACTTGGGCGGTGTGGCTAACGCATAATTTAACAAGATAATTTTTTTTAATTACTTTTGTTGGCTCTTTATAGTCAACACTTGCTTAATAAAGACTTTTCCCATTACTTCATTGAAGAACCTTGATATCATGACATCACTGAACATCATGAGATGTCTGTGCAAGACATGGGTCACAATTCTAGAAATTTTCTTTGCTTTTTTTTATATATCTGAAACTAGCAAAGCTTTTACTCTGAAATAGTATTTCTCTTTCAAATTCAAACTTAATATTGAACATTTCCAGCAGAAACTTCAACATGTATTGCTTAAACACACATGCAAACACACAGCCTAGACATCTGTTTGTCATATCTATCATCTTTCTCTGTTACAGTGTTACTTGCCAGAACTTTTGAGAAGTCTAGTTTAATTGCCTGCCAATTTAGACCACAAATACAAATGTAAATAAACAAAGTTATACTGACTCTGTACTGTGCTCACTGGTAAGATTACAGGGTTTAATTCTGGCAGAATGTAATCTCATCTCTTTTGAAACCACAATTTAGCATGTTTCTTAAAACTTTCACTAGTTGTTGCAGACTGCTTTGATAAATAGTATTATACACCAATGACTCAAACTCCATCTGTTTGGCTAAACTGTACATTTTCGTTTATAAGATTCTCAACCCCTGGTTTTGAATGCTAGAGATGAAGTCTATGGGTTTTCAAATGAAAATCTAGTGACAGTTAAAGATTAAGCACTAGTCCTCTGATTTTAGTAAGCGAAAAAGAATAACTTGTTACAAGTTCCTCAGAATGACAAATTTACATAAAAGACAGGCAGCAGCATCTCTGTCAGTGGTCGTGAAGGAGACTGAGTATGTAGAACAGCTTCATGCTGTCCGCATAATGGTAAGAAAGTTCAGTCACATAGTTATGCTTTTTTTAAGATAAGTCAAGTTATTCTTTTCTGTGAGAGAAGCTGTCTGCTGCTCTTTATTTTACATAGCTCAATAGAGTCAATAAGAATTACTTCATTGCCTGAAGTTGCCTTAAAGGCTTGGTGCACAAAAGCAACTCTGTTGTACCTTCCACTCAGTAGCTGTAGAAGTTAAAGTGTCTACTAGCAAAAATGGCAGAGATAAAATATATGAAAGACATACAGAAGCTGTAGATTCACCTATGCCATTCTACTAGTCTCTTCGTCAGTGCAGGCTTCCTCCATGGAACATATGATAAATCTACAATATTTCCCTCAGAAGTTAAATGCACTACTTCATAGAACACTCTCAGGTTTTTATAATCCATAATAATATTTTACTTCTTATATTAATCCCACCCTCTACATTACATACCCTTGAATCATTCACAGAAACTACAGTCGCTCCACTCTCAATCTGTATAGTTTCCACATACCTACTGCTGCAGGTATAACCACATTCAAAATAGAAGACTGCTCAACTGAATATTTAGTCTCTAAGCCACACTTTGTTAAACAAACATGCAGCTGTTGAAATGTAAGAATATACCTGAAAATTCTCAATCCTTATGAGGGCTTGATACTCCCTTTAAATTTTCCTGTTTTGTTCTGGGTTTCTAGTACATATGAAAGCCAACTATAGCAGAATCCAGAAAAATCATCATAGCTTTCAGCTTCTGTAGTACCAAACTAAAAAAGTAACTCTTTAAACAGTGCTTGCCTATACAAGATATAATAAGCCTGAAGACCTGCCAGTAGAATTTGTCAGGAGAAAAGCTAACAGTAGAGAACAACTGATCTCCTAGAACCTTTCAAGCCATTCTGAGGAATAAGTGATTATGAAATAAGGAATGTAATAGGGATCCAGCCAGATGAACCAGGAAGACCAGAAACATCTAAGTATCAACCTACAAGCGGAAGTTCTTATCATCTGTGTTTATTTATAGGCTACAAGTGGCTTTGCTTTGCTTCTTTCCAGAAGACAATCTTGGCACATCTCCACATCCTTGTTAAGATATGTCCTTTTGGTTAAGAACTTCAGAAAATGTTTACAGAAAGAGAATGAACTCCACAGTAGTTTCTAACAAGGCTAATTCTTGTCTTAGTCCCAAATTCTGTAAACGGAACAAAGTAGTACTACAGACTATGTATCCTTCATGTCTTTTGTGACTCACTCTTCCCAAAAAGGAGGAGAACAGTTTGGACTGGTCTGAGATGAGGAGAAGGGAGAGGAATGGATGTCCCAGGATGGGTGTGTGTGGGTCTGTGTGCTCTGAAGTGCTCGTAACCCTGTGGGAGGCAGAGCACTCAACCAAGCAAATCATTTAAACACTTGAGCAGTTGCCTGGTGTCAATGTTTTAACTAATCATTGTTTTCAAATATTTTGCTGGATTGGTATCAAACTTACCCGCACCTGGATGAATTATGCCTTTGGAAAAGACAGCAGCATTATCTCTTCTAGTACTGTAAGTCTAACTAGCACAATACATCAGGTACATGTCACAGGCTTGCTAATAATAATACTTTCTGTGTAACATTTTTTTTATAGTAGTAAAAAGTATATTCTACTCCTGATCTAAGATTTTGCTTACTTGCTATTGTTTTAAAATATCTTTAAAAAACATTTTAAAAGTTGAGAACCTTCAACAGAGAATTTCATGTGAACCAAATTCGACATTTGATTCCTTTGTCCACTCGTCACATAGTCTATACAATTTTGCCCCAAACAACCTGTACTCTCTCCTTCTTAAAAACAAGATGGACTCTGTTCTATCACAATTTTAGCAGCAACTTGTGTTATTTTTTGTGCTTATACTGACCACTTTCCAGTACGAAGCTATCCATACTGGATACTACAAGTGACAGACCAGAGTACTGGAGTATGTCTGAGGTTTTATACATACCGATTTATATTTATTAGCATTCAATTTCAGTTGATTTACAATGTCAATTCTGTTCAGTTAATACATTCCTCTAAAGACTGATTTTTAGTGATACATGTCGTGAAAGTGATTTCATTTATTTATGCTTTTATGCTACATGACTAACTGTTCATACAAGCCATGTTTACAGTTGTGTACCATCTAGCCTTTTGCCACTGGGTGACAGCCAAAGCATGAAAACAAAAGCCCTATTCAGGAAAAGAATTCCCTGCGCTGCTGTATGAATATCAAGTGAATTATGCAAATCAGAACAGGAGGGGCTTAATAAAACTCTCTTTCGGACCTTCCTTATGTATAAAGAGGGAAATATGCTGAGAATCTTGAGGTAAATATCTCTGTAAGGGAACAGTAAGCACAGTAAATGCCAACCTCAAATTTTAACAGGAACACTTAATCATAAACCTCAAGGATCTTTGTAAGCTACAGAAATCTGCATCACAAAACCAAAGAGAGTAGAAACACTCTCTGTAAAAAGACAGTCTTTTTCTTTGGTTTTGCAAAGGAATAAGAGGGGAGAAAAGCATCCAAAAAAAGTCTGAGTTCATAAAAGGAATGATGGAGAGGGAAAAAACAGATAAAATACAAATAATACTCTACTTTGAAAAAATTAAAATTATTTTTCATGACAGTAAATGTACACATTGCTTTTTAGAATTACTTTCTCTAATTTAGGCTACTATTTATGATTTTTGAACAGATGTAAAAGGAGAAGGCAAAACAGGTACCTATTAAACAGCACTTTAAAATGGTGTTCTATAACTTTGAATTTTAACTTTAATAAAAATTAATTTACTAAAGGTTTATCTGATTTTCCCCAAAGTGCAAAAGCTTTATGTTCTATATAATTCCTTAATGATTTTTTTTTATACATACAGCACATTTTACAGTAGGATGTAACTAAACCACATAGGCCTGTGGAAAACAAAAAGTAAAATATACTTTTAAAGTCAGATTAGAACTGACTATATTTGTGCTTGAATTACTAAAAAATTATTTTTTTCTATATTAAAATGCTATGAATATGAATAGCTTACATCATATTTTCAGGTTCTGTTGCACAAGCTCCCACTGCTTTGGTGACATTCACAAGTAGTGCCTGATCAGTTCCAGTAAGTAACTTCACCAGAAGTGGTATTCCATCACATTTTCGGATAATTGTTCGATTTACTGGCTCTTGGCAACATTCTCCCAGTGCTCCAACGATATTTACAAGGACTTCTTCAGGCTGATCAGTAAGCAGTCCTACCAAAGCTTCTACGGCTTTATATTCCCGAAATCTGAAAGAGAGCAATAAAGCCAAAGTTGTTATTTTCAGTATGTTACTATTATAAGTTTAATTTTATAATTAAAGTATCATTATAATTCAAGTACAATGTTTAATTGCTGTATGTAAATGATCTTGTTGAAGAACCCACAATACAGGTAAACCACTCCAACCAGTTCTTGAAAGTGTGACATACAGCATAATCTCTTACACTACCTTTTTAAATACATTTCTCTAATTTAGCTATCTAGGAATAAAACTTAAAATGTGGATGCAACACTTACAAATAGCTGAAAACATACTGGAAGACTGGCAAGTACTGTGGCATCTGAACTTCCAGTACTTCTTCCTGCCATGTTACCAATAGCTAGGGTAGCAGCGTATCAGACCCTCCTCCACCCCTCCGGACCAAGGGATCACCCTTACTTTTCACTAAATGTTAGACTTTAGAAAGTTTGCCCTGACCCATTCTATACTTACTTCAGGTCTAATATGTGCATTTTCCTAAGGTCAGACCTATAGTTCTAGTACACTTCTATTGTACTATGTTAGATTCCATTTTGAAATTAAGAAATAAGTTGACAGAAATTTAAGTTGACTGTTGTATTAATACTTCCCTCATTCTTCATTGCACTTTTGGTACCAAAAATCAAAAATATGTTTTTAAAAATCCTGGAGGTCCTGTCCTACAAACAGATGCATACAAAACGTTCATCTTTCAGAACAGGACTTTATTCCTCAGTACTGGGGTCATCTTCTCAGTTCATTTTGTTCAGAACTCAGAGGATTCTTAATACTTAACAAACACTGTATCTCCCTCTCATACATTTTCTATGATACACCTTGACAATTCCACTTGGTGTATCAAGCCAGATATAGCCTGCATATTAACTAATAATTATGCTTTGATTTATACCTTTGTGTAAATACATGTAGTTCCTCCCCTAAAGAGATAATTTCTCTGAGGGTAGAGAGTCCTCATTGGTGCTTCCCCCATGGCCCTTAGCTTCTGGAAGTGTCTACTTGAGCTATAAATACTCTGTATTTTCCAGGAACCAGTTGCAGATGTGGCTTTTCTTTTGTACAAAAAAAATAGTATTTTTGAGATTTTGATGGCAGAACTAGAACTGTTTTGATAAAAGTTAATCTTTCAAAGCTGGTTTATCAGTATAGCAATTAAAGTAACTGAGAAGTGAGAAACTGTCATTTTTCATCATTCAAGCCTTTGCTTAAAGAGGAACCTTCCTCTCCTTGTTCACTACAATTTGGAAGTATCCCTGTAATTTTTTTTCAAGATAAATCAACAGCATGGAAAAGGAGCAACGAAGCAAGCAAACAATTTAAAGAAAAACCCTGATTTTCTCTGGCTACTTTAGCTGTGTTGCATATCAACTGCTTCACAAATGGAACGATAAGAGCTGGCTCTGCAACTGGCAGGCCACACTGACAGAGTTGTTGGCTCGGGCCATCTTGTGTCCAGAAGCAGTACGGCTGTTTGCGTCCATCTGGAACCTGAGCTGGTCAGGCCCAGGCACCTGCATCGGCTCATTGCTGAGTCAGCACAACATCTCAGCAATGTACTTCAGGTATAGGAAATACTGTGGCATAGTTCGGAGATAATTAAGTGGCCCTGCAGGAATCAGCAGGGTTTGTTAGTTCTAGCTTCATGCCAGACTCAAGCTCATTCATCCAGATCTACTCACGTGTTTTCATATTATCCTCCCTCCCTGTTGTTGTGCCCTCCCATCTTGATAGGGTTTACTGCTTCGGACTCAGCACTACATAATACATGAATTCAGCTCAAGCCTGGAGCTGCGCCTGGCTAGTAACCTTTGTGGAGTGTCAAGCACTTGCCAAAGATATGTGAGTAGCCCAGTAAAAACCTCTTTGCGTTTGGACAGAATTATTGGCTACAGCTACAGTAACAAATAATACAGGCGAGGGCTCATTCTCTAGCCCTGAGGACAAGAGGCACAACATAGCATCCATATAGGTAAAATCTCTTATCCTCACTGTTCAGGGTGGCCTCACCCATTCTGCCTAATAGAAACAATCTCTGGCCTGCACTGTTCCCAAGGAGTGTGTGGGCATTGTCTGGGAGAGCGCTTGCTGACACAGGCCAAACTCTATAAGGGACTGTGCTAGCAGTTAAACAGTATGGATACTCACAACATACTGCTTGCACCCTGAAAGGTTTGGCCCTGTTTAGTTTACTAGTATAGAGAGCGCCATTCTGTCCATCTCATCACTGACTGATTCAGAACCAGGATGCCTCTGTGCAGAAACCCAAAGCCCACAGAAAAGAAGGATATACCCTTTTGAAAAGCAGGTTACTGTGCAACCAAGAATGCAAAAGCAGTAGGACAGCAGTAGACTACAGAAAGACCATGGCTCTGTATATCAAGAGTTTGGGAACTCATTTAGGACAGTAAAAAGCCAGACTGAAAACCCTTATTACTGGCATTCCTTCTGATTTTTTCCAGCAGTTATCTATTGTGTCTACTTGTCCAGCAAAGTACACTAAAATTAGGGCTGCAGAAAGAGGTTACCTTCTACTCCAGTGGAGCAGGCTTTTTTTTTTGCGGTACGGTGCACGAATCTGATAAATGGATTTTAGATGAGGGGTTAAGTATTCTCATCATTAAGCTGTTCCATGAAAGATGGAAGGTTTTAACTTCTGTCACATTCTCAGATAATCACTCAGGACCCCAGTACCAAGTGGTTGTAGGCACATATGGTCCAATTCTCATCAGTCAATATCACTCATTTAGAAGCTGGGTGTCCAGACTGAGCTACTTCTCTGAGCTCCTTCTGTAGTCAAGGAGAGAGGGATCTAGGCTAATTATCCTAGATTCCAGTATATTTCTGAAGTAGGTGGACTAATGTGTATTAGATATGTACCCTAGAATAAGGTAATTTGCTCTCTGTTGCTCTTGACTTAAGACATTAAAGCTAAGTGTGCTAACTAGTCTCTCTACCATGCAGCAGTGATTCCAGTTTGTAAGCTACAGAGAAGAGTGGGGATCTCAGATACACCCACGTCAAATGTCTACTATGTGCCAGTATGCCTCCAGACTCAGTGTCCTATCTCTTAACTATTCTTTAGAGGTACCAGTTGTCCCCACTGACTCTTAAGATTCTAGGAACTCAGCACTGTTTCCACTGTACCCTGATGAGGTCAAGTGGTAATTTTTTCAGTACTATAAAACCTAAGTTGAAAGCCCAACTGATTATAAAACAGGGTTTTGAAGAATCATGACATAACAAATTTGAAAACAATAGAGGCCCATAAAATCAAAACATGATAATGTAATAAATGTTTGTAAAATTAAATTGTTACTTTGACACATTTTCTCCACTGATTGCACATTTCCAGATTGCTCCTGTCACAGCTGATAAAAGTTGTTTGTTTTCAGAGTTACCAAGCAGAACAGATAGTGGTTGTAGACCTCCATACTGTCTGATCAGGTCACGTGTTTCTTTATCTTCTGCACACTATTTAAAAAAAAAAGTGAAAGTCTTCAAAAATCAAGTGTATTATAACTCGTAAAAACTAATACAGAAGAAAACATAAACATTTTATTAAAGTATCTGAATATGCTAATGACTCACTAAGAGAGTTTGACAGCAAACTGCTACCGTATATGCAGCAGTGCTTATACTGTCACATTGTCTACCTTGTGGGCAAACAAACATAAGAAAGCAAAGCAGCTCTTTGCACAGTGTGCCCTGCCTCTCTCCACTGGCTACCTGTGCACTGCAGGGCTTGCACACAAGAAAAGCAAGTAGGAACTTCATTATATTATTAAATATGCAGCTAAAATAGTCTAATAAGAATTATCCAAAGACCACCAACATTTTTATACAGTAATTTCTTACACATTAGACAAATAGTAAAACTAAGAAATATTAAAACTGACAAACACATGAAAACAAAGGGCTAATCCTGGCTCTGATCTACTGATTATAATAATAAAATTACCTTAAATATGGCACTTGCACAATGCATCTGAAGCTCCTCATCCTCACTACTCAGATATTTCACAAGGTTCTCAATCATTCCTTCTGTCCTTATTGCAAGTCTGTAACTTGGCTAAAAAGATAAACTGCATCTTTTAAATCCTGTATATTAACAGTTAATAACACTAGTTACAATAATAATACAGTGCTACAATTGTACATTTTGATATTGAGAAGCCTTGTACTTTATTTTAAGCACCAGTCACCTGCATTTCCTTGAAAATACTATTCATGTTCTCAAAGTTAATCAAATGCATAAATTCTCTACAGTGCTCTTCAAATCACCTGTAAAACCAGGTGCTGAAATGCCTATTTTGTAGTCACCTGGCTTAAACAGAATTCAGAATCTTCTGAAAGGTGTCTAGACTCCCTACTCATAGCCAAGAAACAGATGCTTCAGAATAGGATCAAGAAGTACCCACTCATTTTATCGAGAGCCAACAGCCAAAAAAAGAGAACTAGTCCTAGGACAAGGTTAGAAAAACATGTTCTTAGAATTAAAAATTTTAGTGATCTTTTCTTCCAAATTTTAACCCACACACGTTGTAACAGCGGACTACTATTTAACAAAGGGGAAACTTCTGTCTCAGAGATGCATTTAGTGTTATTTCCAAATTTGCCAGGTAAGAAATCCTCAAAAACTTCACCTTCTCAAGAAAGACTTACTGAAGCTAAAATCAGGCAGGTTGCTGTCTTGTGGAGCATGCATAAACCTGTGTAGTTCAAGAAGCTAATTTTGAAAATACAATGTGTTTTATGATGTAAAATTTTCTGAAAAATCATGTCTTCCAGGTCTCAAATTCACCAGGAGAATCTATGTATATTTTTGACCTTCAGTGAAATGCACCTTAATTTCAAATATGATTCCACAAATAGAGAAATAACCACTCATCTTATATGGCAATGGCAAAGAATACTTGTATTCAAATTTAAAAACTGAATATACTCAAAGTTGTGACACCTGCCAAGGAAATCACACATATTCCCTTCTTCTTTTTGCAATTGATCATACACCATCTCACCCAATTCACAAGGACATTGTAAATCACACTGCCCTACACTTCATTGGATCATCTTGGTCACACCTGCAGGTTAGCTTTGTAGAATTTAAATGTACTGATTAACCAGAATATAGCATCTTCATTTGCCAGATTTGTCAGGTATAGTGAAAAAAATGAGAAAAAAAAAGAAAATGATTAAGGATTTAATGTCTATATATTTTCTTTCACAAACTACTGCTACACTTTCAAATAAAAAACATGTGCTCTTTACTTCATTAGAAGCTGTGATCTTCTCAAAAATACTTTGACCACACAAAGCATCTACTTCTCGATGGGATAACTACCCTGGTTTAAATGACAGGAAAACGTAATGCTTCCATTTAGTAGCCAATTGTTTTAATGACTAGAAATTTGCTATATGTGTTTACTTACCTCTGAGGCACATTCTTGTAGCGTCCCCACTACTGGGGTTAAGATGTTCATATGTGAACATCTGAGCCATCTAGCTAATAATGGAATGCCACCAGCTTTACGGATTGCTTCTTTATTTTTGGTGCTTTTGCTGCAGCTCCAGAGTGCCAAAGCCCCACAGCGTGCTATTTCAGTATCTTTTGCTTGGTGTAGTGTTGGACCAGTTGATCCCACTGAAATACTTTCCAACAGCCCAACCTAAAAAAACCCATTTTTTTTTTTTAATTATGTACAGGGAACTTTGATATTACACTGCTTTTTAATGATGGTAGAATCACATATACAATGCAGGACACATTTTTTTGACAAAAATATGCATATGACAAGGGTACAAATTACAATCTCTGCTCACCAATTTCTTGATTCCTCCATGTTGCCTTACTGTCCTTCGTGCTCCTTTAAATCTAGCAACATTAGCAATTGTTTCAGCTGCCAAACATTTCAGATCTTTATCTGGAGAGTCCAATATTTTCACCATGATCTGTAAGCCTCCCAGATCTGCAATTGCATGTCTGATCTGTGTATTTTGACTAATTTCCTTCAGGATTTTTAATGAACCAATCTAAATAATGGAAGGTAACAGAAGTTCAACATTATTTAAGTATACATAAACAGAAAAATTATTTAAAATGCTGGGTTATTGAAAACATTTTATCTTATAAATGGAATCAGAAGAACAAAACTGAAAGTCAAAGAATTTGATTTTTTCCTAAAAATCCTTGAACTCAAGAAAATACAGAAATGAGAAAAGAAATAAATTCTCTTTATACTCTATAAATTCAAAAATTGAAAAAATATTCTAGTAGAAAAGGCATATTCATGGCTCTATTCGACAAAGCTACTTACCTGACATTTAATTTCTTCTGTATCAAGTAAATTAATTAACACTTCAAGACATCCAACGTCTCTGATGGCCAGCTGACAAGTTTCTTGAGCCAGATTGAAATCTCTCATTGAACACAATGCGATTACAGTAGCTGTTGGATTAGCTCTCTAAAATAAAGTAAATAATTAACAAAATGTGTGAAGTGCATTTAATATAAAAATCTCTTCTACTAGTAGTACTAATGAAGAAACATGTTAAATTATTTTGATTTTATGATGTTAAATAACACAGACATAGTAAGAAATTAAATTCTTCATAAAGTCTGCAAATGGCATATAGATTGAAATGAGAGTGAATAGCACAGGTGACAAATTACTGATATGGGTTCCTGTGAATGGGCTAGCAAATCAGGCAGTCGATTATTGTGAGTTTTGTATGAGTGCATGCTGATAGCAAAAGAACACACAGTGAAGATGCAGATATTTCAGAGAAGCTATCTGCATTCTTTGCATTGATGTTCACTCTGGAAGAAATCAAAGAGATTCCAACTGGAATCTTCCATTATAGAATCATAGAAAGTTTTGGGTCGGAAGGGACCCCTAGAGGTCATCTAGTCCAACCCGCCCGCAGCGAGCAGGGACACTGCTAACAAGATCAGGTTGCTCAGAGCCCTGTCCAGCCTGGTCTTGAATGTTTCCAGGGATGGAGCCTCCACTACCTCTCTGGGCAACCTGTTCCAGTGTTTCACAACCCTCATTGTAAAGAATTTCTTCCTTAATTTTAAGCCTACAGCTACCGGTTTTCCCAGGCGGTCTCCCATCCAAGTACTAACCGTGCCCGATCCTGCTTAGCTTCCGAGATGGGGAGTTCTCAGGGTGGTATGGCCATAGGCCACTATGGAGGTCATTTCAGAGGATTTTTCTGAAACTGAAGTCACTGTAGAAAGTTTTTATAAAAAAATCCTGACATTGTGAACAACGATAAATTGCCATTATTAGATAGTATTCAACTAAGATATAAAGCAAATGGGGTAAAATATTTGATTCAGTGGAAGTGGCATGTATCCTCTTGATTCAAACTGCCCTGTTACTAACGTCCTAGGAAACAACGAAAGTGATGTCAACTTTGAAAAGAGTTCAAGGCTTATCCAAGGCCTTTTAGCCAAATCTCTGTGCTGGACAAACTGGTAGATTGCAATAAAGAACAGAATTAGCAGACAGCTCTCTGAATACGATATTCTTGCAACAATATGATATACTTAGCATCACCATGGATCTGTTAAGAGAAGTCCTACCTTACAAAACTTACCAGGCTTGAGGCAGTGGTGATCTAGTTGATATGTCTAACTGGACTCCTTCAGGATTTTGAAAAAGTCCCTCCCTGATACCTTTTAAAGAAACTAAACCACTATATTATAAGAGGAAAGGTCATTGCATGGATTGAAAAGAATGACTAAAAGATAGAAACTGGGGACAAGAGCACATAGTCAGTTTAATAAAGGGATGTGATTTAGGGGAGCTCCATGGATGTGTGTTTAAGTTGCACAATTCAACATACTCGTAAACACGGAAAAACAGAAAGGACTACTTATGTGACAAAGTTTGTTGATGATATCATGATTCAGGGTCAGTTGTGACAAAATGCTGAAGAACTTACTAAGAGGGCAATAAAATTGCAAATGACAAAATGAGAAGCCCATCAGAAGAAAAAATCCTAACTCTGCAGATAAAATGATAGGTTTTCAGCTAACCATTAAAAATTAGAAATGATATCATGGGGTTAGGGTAGATGGCAATCGAAAAACAAATGGAATATTAGGACTTATTTGGAAAGGAATAGTGAACAAAGAGTGTCACTATACCACTGTATAAATCCATGGTTCACATTCACCCTAAAATCTTCATGCAGTTCCACAGCCTCAGTTTCAGGAAGGTTACTACAGCACTGGAAAAGTTTCAGAGAAGAGCAGCAAAGATAATTCAAGGTTTTTTCAGCCTACAAGAAGGATGCCTGAAGAGGTCTACAATGATAGGGATGGCATTGAGCAGGATAGATGAGGATTGACTTTCCAATGTCTCTTTTAATGCAGATATAATCTCTTATAATAATGAGGTATATAATATAATAGGATTCAGGTTAAAAAGAAATAAAGTGAGTTGTTTCTTGAAATGCGGCAACAGACTAGTGGACCTAGTTATGAAAACATTTTGTGAAAGCTAAAAGATTTCATTGAAGGTCTGTAAAAACATAATTATCTCATTCAATTCTCAACTTCCTGAGCTAAAAACAAGTGAGGGCTTGGAGAGTATTAGAAAGCTGTATGTCTGCCCTGTTCTTACTTCGCCCTGGGCATTCATTTAGGGTCCTGGGTTTCTTTTGCCTTGGTAAAATATAAACAGAGTTTCACACTACTATAAATTAGGCAGTCGAGTTTCCCACATTTGTGGAAATCAGAGGTCAGGACATCTGGAGTGCAAAAGATGAGCTTTAACCACAGAAAACTGCCGATTATCGTGTCTCCCCTCCTGTTGCAGTCAGGTTATTGGGATACATTGTCTTTTGATCTACCCAATACAGTTTCTTTTATGTCTAAATTTAAGGTCATACACTTACAAATAATGAAAACAGGATATAGCTCAATATAGGAGTTCTGTCCTGGAAATCAGAGCATACAAAAAGACTTGGGATATTGAACATGAATTTGAGATTACAGTGTAACATTTGATTAAAAGGATGAATTTTGGGATGTATAAGTGAAAGTACTGAAGAGGACATAACTATTATCTCTTTTTAGGCACTTGTGCAACTACTGCTGAAATTGTGTCTAATTTTCCTTTTCACAGTTCTAGAAGGCAAGGGAAAATATGGAGATGATTCAGAGAAGAGAAATAAAAACAATCAAAGGCCTGGAAAATAGTTGCATTAAGACAGACATGAGAAGCACTATTCAGCTTATTTAAAAGTTAATCAAGGTATGGTTTATTCATAGTGAATAAATAAATCTATGAGGAAGAGAAATGTGATCACAGAGAGCTCTACAGTCTAGCACAGAGGTTTGACGAGCCGAAGTTAAAGGTACTAAAATTTAGACCATGCGTAAAGTGCAAGTTCTCCATTGTGTGGTTAATTATCCTTTGGAAGAAATTACTCAGAGTGATGATAAGTTTCCAGCAGTGGCAATTTTTCAGTCAAGATTGCATGTCTTTCTAAAAGATAAGCTCCATTTCAGTCACAGCTACTCGAATAAAAGCACAAAACAGATCAAAGAATGCACCCTGTGGTATGCAGAAAGTTAAACCATATGATAACAATGGATTCTTTTGAACTTATAATATAGATTTACTATTAATCATATCAGGTATGAACCCAGCTGCACAGAAATTAGGAGTGCTGAGCTACTATGTAGCGGCAACAGAAGCTGGAGTGCATGAGCAATGCCAACTGGTGCTAATATGGAAGTTACAACTCAGAGCACACAGTAAATCAAACTATACTATCCACCTCCCACATGCCTCTGAATTCCAGGGAAGCTTTGGCTCTCATCCAGATCTGAACTATGCTGCCCAAGCCCATCGTTTTCAAAGTACACTTTTGAAACTGTAAAGGACTTTGAGCCAACCCTTTCCAGAGGAAAATATTTTGCTCAACTGTGTGTATCACACTGAAATACACAATATTGAAAAACTGAGTAATCTTTGCTAATAAACAAGTAGGTCTAACAAAAACATATCATTTTGCAGCATATGTCTTAAATGTAAACGTTAACATTAAGACAAACACAGAAAAAAGTCTTCAAATTTAACATGCTCTTCAACAGATACCATAAATGTAGTAGAGCATCACAAGTGAGAAAATACATCCAAAAGGAATATGAGAAAAATACTTGACAAAGTTTCAGATCAGTAATTTACATCAGACAAAACACTTCTGCTAATCAATGAAGTGATTAGCATCACTAAGGATGGAGTTTCATAGCTAATTTCTATGTAAATTATTGTAACAACAGATATCCACAGAACTTCCCCACATTAGACTGTTTAAATATAAAGGTAATTTTTTAACCTCTGTAACATATAGTGTCCTAAAGGAAGAGTCTCAATTTTTTTCATTTTACCTTCTTATAATCTTCATCATTATCATCTCGACTTCAGAAGAAAATGAAACATGTCTAGCTTTAAGAACATATTTTGATATATTTTGTAAAATATGTCCTAAGGAATAAAATATCACAGCAATTTCTCAAATATTTTCCTAGAGAAATCAGTTTAACCACACATATCAAAGTCTAAACGATTTTTAAAAAAACCTGTAAGATACAATCCCAGAACTACACAGAATATTCTGTAGCTCAAAAGGACACACAGCTGTCCTTTTAAGAAGTTTGTGGTCTTTTCATATAGCTTAGACTTTGAGATTTACTTTATTTTGTATTATAAAAATTTTGCAACTGGTGTTTAAAGAGAAAACATTGTTTTATTATTTTACATGAATGTAAGAAGTATACTGCTAACCCGACAAGCAAAGTCTCTTCTTTTGAGGAGTCCTTCTCCTGCAGTGAAACTACATTTACACACAACGTAGTAATTAGAAAGTCACTTATCTTACATGCATAATGGTTGGCATATGACATTTAATATGGAGCAGGTTTTTAAAAAATAAACAACTTATAATTCTCTTACATTAAATAAAAAATAGAACTGTATATAAAATATAGACATATCTTTTATTTTTTTGGCTTCAAAAATGCACATACCACTTCAATTGTTTTTAAAGTAAAACCACAACAAAATATTTTTCATATGTGCTGAAGCATCAGTTCTACGAAATAAGAAATATTACTGATGGTTTCAACAATTATTTTCTGTTTCTTGAAGTTATCATTAAATTTAGTTTTGCAGTACTTACATCATAGATTTTAACATGCATGGAAATAGTTACTTCTCCATTAAGTTGACAGAAAATCTGCATCATGTTTTTATACCATCTGAAATTGGATATGCTCGATGCAAAATAAACTCTACTGGCAGATCAACAATCAATTTTAAAGCTTGAAATTAAACACAGCTTTATTTAAAAATGTGCCTCTCTTCGTATACAGTATAACGTATATATCCACAAATTAAATGAAAATAGAACAGTATCACTACTACACTATCAGTAAAACATC